CCCCAACTGAATCATTTTCAGCTTGTCTAGAGAGGTCTGGTGAAAGGAGATGGGGAGAAAATTATTATGATTCAATAGTGAGTCATTGTTATCATGACTAACTGCAATTGTCACAACTGTAAAGGTAGAAGTTTTATAACAAAAAGGAGAGGAGTCATTAATCTCACAGTCCAGGAACAGAGGACCCCTAGGACCATAAAAGGAGAAGGGCACAAGAGGAATGTGGGACCCTATCCAGAGAGGCAGCGACACCACAGATGGAGACAGAGATGACGTGGACAGAGGAAGCAGCTGTGTGCTGTGTGTGTGCACTGTGTGCATGTATGTTGTGTGTATGGGTGCACTGTGTGTATGTGTGTGCATGGTGCACTGTGTGCTGTGTGTGTGTGCACTTGGGGGAACTGTGTGCATGTATGTTGTGTGCATGGGTGCACTGTGTGTATGTGTGTGCATGGTGCACTGTGTGCTCTGTGTGTGTGTGCACTCGGGGGTGCTGTGTGCATGTATGTTGTGTGCATGTGCACGGATGCACTGTGTGTGTCTGTGTGTGCACAGGTGCACTGTGTGTGTGGGCGCACATTCCTTGTCAGGGGTTGGCAATCTTTTCTTTTCTTTTTGACTCCCCACTTTTCCTTTCCCTGGCCCCTGATGGGTGGGGTCTAGACTAGATTGTGTGTGCGTGTTTGTGGGTGCGTGTAGGCATGTGTTACATGTGTGTACACATGTTGTGCACATGTGTTCGTGTCCAGCCTGGGCAGGAACTTCCTGAAAACAGACCAGACAGGATCTGGGAGCCCTGCACACCAAGACTCTCCATGTCACAACAGCCAGGGCCTCTGTCCAGAGAGAGTCACTTCCTGGAGACTCGGGGTACTCCTCCACTCCACCTGGCTGGACCAGAACTTACCTGCTGCCGTCCCACCTTAGGTAATCCCTTCATGCCATGGTCCCAACCACAGCCCAAACCATGCCCATCCTGTCCCATGGGGCCTCCTTCTCACAGATCTGACCACCACAATGGGCTGCTGCCACCCACCACCCAGTCCAGCCCTCCACGTCATAGCCAGAGTAAGGGCGTCCCCAAACCAGAGGGAACAAGGCACACAGTGTAGATGAGCCTTCTTGTTGGAAACTGCTGTCCCCCTCCTGTGACCTCTCCTCACCATGCTGACCACTGCCCTCAAACACTGCCCCACACACAGTGGAAAGGCTTTGGAGGGGGTTAGCAATGATTTATTCTGATCCAGCATGAGAGTCCATAGGAGCTGCAAGCCTCGAAGGTCACTGCAAACCAAGGAGTATTGAGAGCCCCAGGGTCATCCTCCCTCCCCCCACACCTGCCCTCAGCCCCACCTGAGCCAGGCCCCCAGGGGCAGCTCACCTGTAGAACCTTGTGGGCACAGGTGACTGGAAGGGGAAAGACGAACTATGAGGACCAGCAGGACCCCTCACCCCTCCAGCCCCCAGGACAGGCTGCTGCCCTGCCATCTAGCACACACAGGACCCTCTGGGACCCTGGTCAGCAGGACCTGCTGGGCCTGCAGCCTCAGCTGAGATGAAGCTGCCCTGTGGCCTCGCTGTGGGCAGAAGTGGCTTGCTCCTGGAGTATGTCCTCAACTCTGCCAGACTCGCTGGGACCAGGGGACCCACGGAGACAACCCACATCTGCATTGCCCTGGGCCCAGGGGACGCCTAAGTGCTCCCCTCCCCCACAGGCTGCCCCGGCTCTCACAGTCCTCCTGCAGCTTGGCCTGCTGCTGGGCCAGGTAGCCCAGGTCCCTGCTCCACTTGGAGAAGAGCTTGGTGGCCTCTGGACTGGCCACCTTGGTCCGACCTGTGGGGTAAGAGGAACAGGAAGGAGGCAGAGGGTCTGAGCACCAGGCATGCCTCCCTCTGCCTCCTTGCCCTCCACCAGGTGTGTGACAAAGACAGGGGTGAGACAATGAGGAAAGACAGACAACCGGAGAAGAGAGCAGGGGCCATCCCCCTGGGGGACAGCAGGGGCAGCATTTGCCATCAGACCTGTCCCCACAGCCAGCCATCTCTGGCGGCTCCCACAGACAGCTAAGCCCAGGGTCCAGGGGACCCCACACCCTGGGACGGTGAACCCCAGACCCTCTCCCTGGGTCCCTCTGAGCTCCAGGCACAGCAGAGTTCAGCTGGTCCAACACTGTGTCAGGGACCATGTGCCCTGGGCCTTGGACACCCTAGACAGGGCCCTGTAGGTCCTTTGGACCTGTCCATCAGCTCCTCACTGTACAATTCCACGGTGTTGAAGGTCTCATCCCCAAATTCCAACTGCGTGAAGACAATGGCGTAGTCCTTGAAGTTTGTACCCAGTACCCGGTACTCCAGCACCCCCAGGGCTGAAACCAAGTGCACTGCTGGGACCGGACCCCCGGCTCCTGACCCCACCCCCACTGTTCATACCCTGAGAGCTAAACAAACAGACTGAGGAGTGCCTTCCCATGCGGAGCCGGCAGACGCTTTCAGGACCCCAGGCCTCCACACAGTGGTGGGGAGACCCCTCAGCACCAGTCCGGCTCCCGGGTACCCTCAGGACTAGCACCAAATCCCTGACAGTCAGGTTTCCCACACTGGCCCCACCTGGGGATAGGGCATGTCCTGGCGGCACACTCACAAGGATTCTCAAACACCCATCCGGAGCCTTGCTTCAGCAACTCCACCACAGTCAGGCTGCACCCTTCCTGCCTGTGGGGAAAAGGGCCTGTCTTGGACTC